TATTATGTCTGTCAAAGTTTTAAATGACAGAAGAGGTTTTGATTATATGCACTAACGTAGAAATCCCAGTAACCATAAACTGGCACACTTGCAGGCTGCGTGTCAAATTTAGACCGTCATTACAAAACATTCGGGTAGAGGTGTGCTTCTGATTGATATGTACAGTGTGGAAGCGACCACGCTTAAAATTAGAATACCAACAGGGGGGCTCCGCGGTTAGAATCTAAAGGGCTGGAGCTAGACAAATATTGCAGTATATATTATTCTGCTTCAATCATGCACTGAAACCGTTTTTAAGAGAACTCCATGGACCGGAAGGAGGACTTGGACATGCTTGAGCTGATGCCTCATCCATCTGCTCCACTCGGATTCCAGCGCTGCATATATTGGCAATGGAGCGCATGTGTTTCATCCCGTACTGAGATACGGATCCACAATGCCTCTCAAAAGTCCTCACCTGCGTGGAGAAAAAGCAACGAGTTAATCTGAGAGGCCACAAAGTAAAATGTGTACGACAGATTCAGCAGGCAGCATTAATAGATACATAAAATTATACATATGTTTATATTACCAGGGTTTTCAGACAAGCCCAATCATCAACAAGAGGTTGACCTGCAGGTCGTATAGAATTCAACACTTCTGGCCCTCTTTCAATTCCAAATAAGAGTTTTCCAATAAAATTAATGCTGTTATCTATATGCATCCTGTGAGACATGGCCTCATGGAACTGTTTCTGAGCTTCTACTTTCCTTACAGATCCTTCAGGTGCCTTGCGGTACTACAAATTTCACAAAGACAATATTAGAGGATTCATCGCTACCTAAGTGAAAAGCAAACAATTAAAGCCAAAGACTCTTCCATAAATAAAAACTCATTATATCTGTTTCCTCCCAAATTCATTTTTTACCTCTTTTTTTTCTTTGTAAAACAAAAGCATTTATTTATTTCTTTTAGATGTTTGAAATTTGTGAGCACAAACCTTCTCCCAAAAGTGGACAAGATCAGCATCACGCTGATTAACAGCTTTTGAACGCGGCCGAAGAGAATTTTCATCCACAAAAGTATAGTTTTCATTTGCAGGGATTAGTGCCCATATACACAAAAAGATTGTCCTTGCTAAGCCCTACGTCCCCATACTGCATAACATGAGAACCATATGCAGAAATGTCGTTCGCAGTCCTCCTTTTACCTGCCGACATCAGCAAATGTCATGAAACTATAATCACGCAA